TGTTCCAAGATCTAGCTTTACGGAGGTGAATAAGTCAGGGCTTGGATTCAATCAAGTAAAATTAACTTATTTGACTGTTTTTTAAACTTGCAGAGTATAACAAACTCTGTTGCAAATACATGACTAAACAGTTTTTAAGAGGAAAGGAAGTGAATCATTCTTTTGCCTAAACTGAGACTCACAGTTGGAAAATGTTACTTCATAGATTTATGCCTTACCCACGAGGGCTTCTGGCAAAAATGTGAAACCCAGTTTGGAGTGCGAACCTGAGCACAGCAGGGAAGCGGGGGAAGCCAGCAGGGCTGGGTGGTCTGAAGGAAGGGCACGGGGAAGTGAGCCGTGTGGAGCTCCTTTCCAAGCACCAGATTACGGCAGTCCTCTGTCGCCTCACCGTGGGCCAGGCTATACTGAATGCTTCCGGGTCACTGTGGTTACCACCGGAAACACCACAGTGAGGCTCCTTAAGAGCTTGTCTTGGCCCAGGCAGCGTGCTGGGTGGGACAGAAAAGGAATGCTCTAGCTGGTATTCAGCATTCAGGGCTGAATATTTAACCATAGAGCAGCTATGGATTAGTCCTAGTGCCTTTTTGTTAAATATGAATATTTAGCCATAGAGCAGCTATGGATTAGTCCTAGTGCCTTTTTGGTTTCACACACCATTTGCTTCCCTTCCTGTCATCTGCAGAGCACTTATAGGTGCAGGGCCTCGTAATGAGAAAAAAAAACTATTTGCAAATCATCTATATCTGATAAGGGACTTATATCCGGAATATATAAAGAATTCTTACAATTCCATAATAAAAAGACAAAGATTCAATTTTAAAAAATGGGCAAAGGCGTTGAACAGACATTTCTTCAACAAAGATAGACAAATGGCCGATAGGCACGTGAAAAGATGCTCAACATCATTCTTCATTAGGAAAAATGCAAATGAAAACCACAATGAAATATCACATCACACCCACTAGGATGGCTGTAATAAAAAAAGATACATAATAACAAATGTTGATAAGGATGTGGAGAAACTGGGAGCCTCATACACTACTAGTGGGAATGCAAAATGGTACAGCCAATTGTAAAACAGTCTCACATTTCCTCAAAAGTTTAACGTAGAGTTACCACATGATCCAACAATTCTACTCCAGGTGTATTCCTGAGAGAAATGAAAACATATGTCCACAAAAACTTGTACGTGAATGTTCAACGCAACAGTATTCATAATATCCAAAAAGTGGGAAAAAAACAAATGTCCATCCACTAATGAATGGATAAATAAAATATAGTATATCCATAAATGGAATATTATTTTGAAATAAAAGAATGAAGTACTGATTCGTGCTAAAACCTTGAAAACATTATGCTGAGTGAAAGAAGCCAACCATAAAAAACAACACATTGTGTTATTCCATTTTTATGAAATATTCTGAATAGGCAAATCTGTAGAGGTAGCTGTGGTTTGCCTGGCAGTGGTGGTAGGAAAAAAATGGAGTGACAGCTAGGGGACTAATGGATATAGAGTTTCTTTTTGGGGTGATAAAATGTTCTAAAATTGATTGTGGTGATGGTTACTCTGTGAATATGCTAAAGCCATTGAATTGTACCCTTTAAATGGGTGAATTGTATAGTACGTGAATTAAATCTTGATAAAGCTGTTACTTTTTTTAAAAGTAAATATATTCAGTGTATTAGAAATCTAATCTCTTCCCTTCCTTCCCTCCTTTCTTCCTTCCTTCCTTCTTTCCTCTTTCCTTCTTTTTCTCCTTCTTTCCTTTTTTCCCTCAAATTTATAAGCGTAGGATAGAATGTGCCTAGTCCATGGAATGAAGTATAATTATATCATCAGTTGGGTGATAAGAGAAGATAGCAAGCCCAAAGTGAAACGTTCATTTAATCTGAGAAACTACAGGCAAAGAGAGAGAATATCTGAGGTGTAAGTAAGTCTTCTGAATGACATTTATTCTTTTTTTTCCTTCAACATATATTTATGGGACATTTATTAAACATTTGAGGCACTGCACTAGGTGCTATTTTATGATTTCAAAGCAATAGAGAAGTGTATTTCCATTGCATGTACCTGAGACTGCATTTCACGTGTTTACATCCAGTCTGCCGAGCCTACGCCCTCCCTTCCTTCTAGTAGTTTATGAGCACTGACTTCGGTCTATCACAAATTGCTTAACGTGAATAAACACATATTTTGAAATCTCTTCATATTTACAGAAATGCAAAATACTTTCTTAGGAAATTCATAAAATAGCTGTGTATCTTGAAAAATGAGTTTGTCTGCTGGTACCATTGGGCATCTTAGACCCACAAGGACAAGGGATAGAGAAGCCCGATGTGCCATTTTGATTCCTCCCTCCATTACTGGGGCGGACAGATCCGCTTTGGTTTAAAGAGGGCTGGAAGCTTGACCCAGCTGAGATCAGCAGTCTATGCCACCCAAATGGCCATTCGAGAAACTGGTGGGTTATGAAATTGCTGTCAGGAGACTCAAGTTTACCAAGGTCAAATCAGAACCCATTTCCCCTTAGAGCAAATCCAAACCTTCGATAAGTATGGCTTAAAAATGTTGCCTGAGCCTCCCGCAGCCCCAAATCTCCTGAATCTGCATTTCTGCAGGTGAGCAGATGATGCTTCAGTCCTGGAACATGTACAAGTTGCTGTCTATGACTGAACTCAGCTCTGATATGGATTTCCAAGGTCCCTTTAAAAGTAGAGAGAGTTGAAACTTTGTCATTCAGGACTCTTCGAGGCTAGAAAGAATTCCCTGGGCCTGTTCTCATTTATGCTTAAATCTTCAGAACTTAATTGAATTGGGTTCTGAAGATTACACATATGGGCAGGGAAAGTAGCCATTCATCTCATCTTCAATTTAAGGATCATTCCTTTCATTTTTCTTTGGTATTTGCAGGTCAATTCAATTATCTTCCTCGTGGAATTAGCAATGAAGTAGTAAAATAGAAGTAGTAAAATACCAGGAGAAAAGGTATCTATATATATTCCTCACAGATTTTACTCCTGTGAAACAAAACCATTTGGAGAAAGTAGAATTTTTCTGGAGAAAATAATGGAACTTTAAAACAAAAATCAAAGGAAAAAACTTTAGCCAAAGACTTAAGCTACTAAAATGTATGCATTCTTTTAGGGAAAAAGTTTTTTCTCTTCTCAGTGGCTGAATTTTCTTAATTATTTACTAAAAGTATCTTTTTCTCATTTATCGATTCAAGATTATTTAATAACTATGCTTTTTCAGGCAACTGTCTGAAATTTTATTTTGTGATTTGAAGATTTTAAGAGTGAATGAGGGAAAACGGTAGAACAGAGCAAGAAAGACAAATGCAAGACTGTGTGTACATGTTTATATTACTCTCGATTTTGATGATCCACTTTTAATTTAACCATTTAACAATCTTTTAAGGATCTTTCTTTCAAAGGGAGGAAGGTGGGCTCTGCCGAATTCATTAGAACACTGTCCTTTAAGAAGAAAGGAAACTTTGAATAACGGGTTCCTGTTTCAACGACCTCCACCAATGTTCTGAGAGCCCGAATTTGCTTTCAACCAGATAGACCGATTTGCTTTCTTTCCTACTGATCCCATGGTTTGCTGCCATTTTAAAAACACCTTACATAAACTCGTAAAAATCTCTTGTGAAGATAAATTTGATGTTTTAAATCAGTGATCTTTTGCTCTCATGATTCAAGGCACAGAGACGGCCCCTACCCTTCCTGAATCAGGGTAAGCATTGATATCCATTTTTCAAGGTAAATACCCTATAAGGGCTTCATCCTCCTGAGACCTGAGGTGTTCTTTTTCTAACAAAAAGTCTCATTGGAAGATGTGCCTCATTGAGTGCAAAGTCATTTTTAATGCAATGATATATGTACGTGACTCCGATCATTTTAAAATGTAGTTGTCCCTTGTTTTACAACAAGATCTTCTACAGCGAACTTAGATGATTAAAATAAAAACATTTCAATCCAGGCTCAGTGGCTCATCTCAGGGGTTCTAAAGAACTAAGATCTCTGAGGTGACACTTTGACCATACTGTTTGCTAATCAAATGGCTCATTGGTTAGTGATGGAGATTCAATTCCATCATGCTGTCTCCACGCTCCGCCCCTCTATTTTTCTTGGAATTCTGGGTCACTCGATTATCTACTTTGCTATTGTTGTTAAACAAGCAAGGCCCCAGTACACCGGAGCATAAAACTTATGCTTAATGCATCGCTATTCCAAGCAATGAACTGAGATTTCTGCAAATACATCCACACTCTTATCAGCAAGACGTTCTTTTCCCAACTGTAATGCTATGTCAGGTGTTGCTATAGTCTGTGCTCTATGTGGGGATCCAGAGTTGCAGTCTCTGAGTAAGCCTTCACACAGACAATCCGTCGATCCATCCACAGCACGTGGGGCCTGCTATGTGCAAGGCTTCCGGCTGTGATACACTGAGAAGTTGACAGAAGCCCAGCTGCATTGTAAGCTTTTCTACTCCTCAAGGCCAGGGAGACATTTCTGTGCATTTAGAGATTGCGGGGAACCATGTCTATCACCTTATTCTGAGTTCTCCAATCCTCAGTGATTGTGATTAGTGACTCAAGCTAAGATACACCCTTTCTGGGACTTTATATAAAATGAAAAAACTCCATGATCTGGGTCAGAGATGGCAGTTACTGCTATCATGTGGAACCTCCTTTTTCTGGGGTGAAAAGAGTAGTACAGGTCTGTGGCCATAGATCCCGAGGGCGGCTCCTGGGTGTGGACAAGGCACAGACAAGGGCTTGCTCTGTGCAAAGCGGGGCAGAGCAGGGCCCAGGACGACCATGCAATATCCACTCAAAGGCGGTTTGCTGCAGGGCAAGCCCCTGCTCAGACAGTTCATTCAAGTTACTACATGAAAAGAAAGGAGAAAATGACATACAGTCAAACAAATGAAAAGCAAGATTTTCCTTACCTCCAGAAAAAATAAAGTTTGGATTTTCTGTCTTTTTTTTTTTTTTAAGAAGCAGGGATTTTCTGTATGGAATCATCCAAGAATAATATATTTATAATTTCTGTGGCCTTGACTGTGTTAATAAAACTATTATCCAAATAGAAAATGAAAACCTTTCCACTGCGGAGGTCGCTTGGCTGAGTGTTTGGGACAACAAAGGAGCAGCTAGTGAAACAGCAAGAGGAGAATCAAGGCCAGTACACAGCCGCTGGGCGGGACCGACAGAGCGGAGCCGGCCTGGCCCTTCAGCATGCACATCACCCTGGACCAGGACCCGTTATTGGGCAGAGGGGCGATGCCTGCCACGTTGCACATGACGTTGTAGACGTCCACGGATCGGATCGGAGCGGCTCTGAAGTTGGATTTGAAATCTGAAAGGGAAAGGCAAGCAAAGAAGTTGTCACAGTCACTCATCAGGCAGAGAGGGGCTGAGCCACACTGTGGAGGAATGACGCTCAGGATTTCAGGCAACTTTGGAACTGAAAATTCAGCTCTGTCCATGGGGTGTGGCCAAGTGATTGTGAACACGGAGGAGTATCTGGAAAGCTGCATGTGATGAAACAAAGTCACTTTCTGTGGCTCATGGAGATGAGTTTCTTTAAAAGACAAATCAGCAGACACACTGTCCTGTGTATAACTGTGCTCCCTTGTGACAGCAGAGCTTTCCTGCAGAGGCGGAAGGGCCACCTGAAGCTGCTCATTTCTGCAGAGTATTGGAGAGCAGGCTGGTCACAGACGTGTGACTGCCTTGCCGTGCTCCCCCAAACCCAATTTCACAGTACACTTATCTTCCAGAGTGCCTGTCTAGCAGGGGCTGGTTAGCCAGGGTGCCAGTTTCCACTGCAGAGGCCCCACATAAACTCAAGAACGTTTCTCCATTTTTTCTGCCACACTAGAGGTCCCAGGCTTGATGGAATGTGGAACTGTCCAGTTTCCCCTGTGCAGGCCAACTTGGAGCAACAGCAATGCTTTTCTAAATCCATTTGGAAGGTCAATTAACCATTCCCTGGGAAACTTTCACTGGCAGATAAAATAACTTAGCCAACTGTTAACTTAGTGAACAGGTGTTGGAGTTACAGAACAAGGGAAGGCTCTGGGAGGTCTAATGGAGTAGAGATTTGTGCTTCTACCCAGAGGCTGCACCAGACTCTGGCAGTGACATAGGCGTGTGAAGGGCAGAAGGGAGACTTCAATCAAGAGTGCACCTTCTCCTTCTCCACTGGAGGCAAATTAGATGCTGACCGCAAAGCGCTGGTTTGTTTAAGAGTGAATGTAAGAGTTTAGTCATGTACATAAGCAGTTTCACTTTTAGGTCCCAAACCAGAGCTTCCAACAAAATACCCCACGCTACACTGAGGTTGAATTCAAGAGGGAGATTTTATCCTTCAATAAAGGCCTGTGAATATGCTTCAGTCCATCTAAGATTTTTAAAGGAAATAGGAAGTTTGGGGGCTATAAAGCCATGTTTTCTATCTTAGAAAATAATCTTTTTAATTGTTTTGCTAAAATGGTCACATATACTTTATTTAAAAAGCAAACAGAAACCAAAGGCAACATGATCCAGAAGTGCCAACACCAAATTCTGATCTGTGTCAACTCTGAAATTATAAAATACGGGGAAAAAGTTGTATATGGAAAACTGCCACAGACTATGTTAGATCCAGGGCAAATGATGAGTTTTGCTCACTTTGAAGCATTTAAGAGGAATCCAGAATAAAGAGGCTCATCAGCTCTACAACAAACTGCAGCCATGTCAAGCGGGTAATGTTAGGAAACGGGCAGTAAAACAGTATCTAAATCATAGCTCCAAGCACGTTGTATATGCTCATTAAATGGTAGCTAGTACTATTAGCAAACGTGTAGAATAAATGTCCAGCTAAGGCAAACTGGATTGAAAATAATCATCCATAAATTCTCTGCCAGGTTCACTTTACTTTTGGGGCAGGGCGGATAAAGGTCAGCATCACCTCAGTGTGAAAATAATTTTAAAAACATCCCGAACCTCCCTGGAGAAGAAAATGTGGGAACTGGCCCAGGATGCCACCTCTTCTTAATGTCAAGGCAAATCGTATACTTAGATACAGATGGTGGTTGTTCTTCCCCAGAGACGATTAGCTGCAACCGGAGAAATGAATGGAGATGTTGCTCCTGTGACAGGGAAGTGAGTCCTCCCTCTCCTTCTCACCAGCCATGGACCTGGAATGTGACGATCATACCGCTCATCACACAGTAGCCTTGTCCCTGTCACGTGTGTCAAGGGGAGGCGTGTGTGGGTGGCAGACAAAGGTAAACCCAAGATATCCTTCCCCAGCCTTTCAAATACCCTCTTCTTTAACACTTGGCAAGAATATTGAGCTCTACAGACAAAAGTATTGGAGAAGACCATCTTTTTACTTTGAAAGTTAAAACCAAAGCCTGTGCACGTAAGCAGGAAGGAGAATTGGGTTTTCTTTCTCATTTCATCTGGGTTATGGCTTCTTCTTCGGCAGGGCTGGGACTTTGGGCCCCATGCAGGCAGGATCCAGGCTGGACTGAGAGCTTCTAGAAAATTCCTGGATAGCAAAACAGTATCTGATCCAATTTGGGAGGACCCAGCCAAGCTCCACTAGCTCAGGATGGCATTTTGAACCTGGATTGGGAATCCAAGTTATTCCCATGGGTTTAAATTTTGTGGATATTAAAACTGTTTTTCTTCAAGCGAGAAGGTTCTGCAGGCTCACGCGGTGCCTGGCCACCTTGGGCTGCTCCCTGAGTGAGGCTTGCTGGCTCACAGGCAGCTCACTGAATCACACTCCCGCTGCCTTATCGGGAGTGTGGAGTTCTCCGGGGCAAGATTAGGTTGTTCAAATTAGAAACTGGGATTAACCAGAGAGAGGCTATTTTCCAGAATGATTTCCTTTTCTCTTAGCTGGACCAGTCTGACTGACTTCTAAAACTATATGTGGGCAGCCATAATGATGCCCAGCTTCCTCCCTAAGCGAGAAGCACATACAATTAATCAGGAGGGATGTACCTTTATCTCGAAGTGCAGCTAGATAGCTATGAATGGCCTCGCTCTTAAATTTTCTTCTGAGTAAACAGCTAGTGTGTAAAGCTGTTCAATCTTTCATGAGAATTGGAGCCAGAAACGTGATGGTTCGCGGGAGGCTCTCAAGGCTGTATCTGCCTGGAAACATTTTTGCAATTAGCCCAGTCCATTTTCATCAGGGGTCGTCTTTCTGTCTATAAAAGACTTAGGCTTTTAGTTTTAAAGGAGCATGTGATGGAGGCCTTTGTTAATGGACAAATTCTCCCCACTGAATTTAGCTCTAAGCTAATGCAGCTTCGGGTAATTCTTTTAAACATTTTGGTTTGAGGCTCGATTTGCTTCTACTTTAAAATATGCCTACGACACTTGCTCATAAACACTCCTTCAACTGACAACTGTTTTGTATTCACGATCTTTTCTCTCTCTGGGGACAGAGGAGGTGATGCTTTTGAATGAAAGCCCAGCTATCTGATGGTCTCCCATCTAAAGGCCGTGGCCCTGGAATGTCTCCAACCTAATCTAGCAGTTGACCTCAACGAAGTCCTCAGGGCACCATCACTAATTCGTTTAGCTTTGAGCTTCGCAGATCTGACCTGGCTCAGCCATCAGGGAGCACTGGTAACTATTATTGGTTGATGGCAACATGTTGGGCATCCTCTGCACTCTGCCTCTGGCCAACGTCCTAAACCCAGTCAGGGCTTTATAAATGCTTGCAGCTACTGGTTCTGACGCTTCCTTCAGGATTGGGAACTTGAATCACAATTGGACCAAAATATTCCCTAAGCCGAGGTTTCCCGAGGCCGCCACGGAGGGCACAGAAACAGACACCTCATGGCTCTCGGCAGCTGCTTGGTGGTAAGTTGAGTGGCTCACGGCAGGCGGGTTGACTTGTCTTCGTCTTGCTGCATTGAGAAGAACAGGGCGTCTAGGTATAATCTCTAATTTATGATTTGATAAACATCCAGAAATGCGGATATGAAGGTAAGCTTATTATATTTAACAGGGAGGGCGGATACGCTGCTCTTCTTTCACCGTATGAAAGAAGAGCAGCGTATTGGCCAGTCACTGATGGATGACGGCTACCGAATGCTTTTCATCCCGTTTTTTTTTTTTTTTTTGAAAGAAGAGGATGTTTAGGTAATACTATGATATTCAGAGTGTTTGATAAACTTTCCCAAAATGTGAATTTACAGTGCTCAATCCATGAAAGCCAATGACCAAACACGCCCTCTTTACCCCACCTCTCTTCCAGCCTTAGGAAGTTGTTTGGTCAAGGAAGGCACAGTAAATTTGCTTCCGTCCGAGGCATCCCTAGTCATTCTGGCTCATTCTCAAAGTCAGTCTCCCGGTCATTTCCTAGCTTGCCCTTGAGCACATCCCTGCTTCTGACCGGGTCCTAAGCCAAATGACCTCCACAGAGGTGGGTGCTCTAGACAGGGAAGAATTGTGGGAGAGTCAGACCCCGTGAAGCAGTCACGTCAATTTTGAGACTCACAGCTGTCAGCAACTTGGTGCCTGATAAGCTTTCCTGGACATCAGATAGCTGTGAAATAACATTTTGATGAATTAAGTAAAAAATGAATCATGAACATGTGGAATACATTTTCTTCGTTGCACTCAAGATTTAAAATTTACAAGGAAAACTATTTGGCCACATTTGCCAAACCCAAGAAGCATTTGAAAGCAAGCCAGCAAAAATGTCTCATGGAGACCGGCTGGGTTTGCTCAGCTTTGCTCATAAAGAGGGTTCATAAAAAAATCACGCCAGCCTTTACTAGCGCCGTAAGCCCATGGAGACACTTCCTTGGGAATGGATGACTAAGAGAATTTGGTCATTTCCCCACCTACCAGGTCCAAAGGCCAAGAAGATGCCCCTCATATCCATGAGCTCGTTGTCATATCCATGCCACCCACGCTGCCAGCCTTCCCTCTTGCCAGTGCTGTTCATCCAATATGGAAGCATCTCTCGATTCTGAAACCAAGCAAGACAATTACATCTCACTGTGTCACAACAATAGTGATCAGTGAGCATCTGGTCCACACCATCACCCAATGTGGGGACCCCTTCTCAACATTGGGGTCATCCAGCCTTGATCACTTCCTACGTTAGGTAGCTCAGACCTTTGTAGCGAGCCCATTAATTTGCCAAAGGGCTCTAGTTATGAAGGTATTTTCTTACATTGAGCTGAACTGTACCTCATAATCAGTTTTAGAACCACTAAATATAGCATGTTAGCGACAGAAAGGAACATAAAGTGTTTCTGTGGTATAATGAAAAATATATTTGGCCTTTCTCCCAGGTTCCTGGCACAGAGCTCTTAAAACCCTTGGAATTTCCTGAGTGATAGGCATGCTTTTTGTTATTCATAAGGAGCCCCTTTCTTCCACACCTGAGTTTGTGCCAGTAGATGACTTTTGGGGTTAAGGTGGCAGAGACTAGATAGCTTCAGGACAGAGACTGGTGACTGGAAAAACCAACCACCTGATTAGAGGGTTAGAAATTTCAACCTCATCTCTGACCTCTAAGGTTGAGTTCAGTCACGTGGCCAATGATTCAATCACTTGTGCCTGCACAATGAAACCGTGTATAAGACCCTGGAACAAAGCGGCCAGAGAGCTCCTGAACTAATGAAAATGCTGATGTGCCGGCCGGGTGCACCCAAGGAGAACGTGGGTGCTGTGCCCCTCACCCCATGTATGTCCTCCATTTGGCTGTCCTGAGCTGAATCCCTTATAATAAAACTGTAACCATAAGTATAGCACCTTTCTGCGTTCTCTGATTCATTCCGGTGAACTATCAAACCTGAAGGGGATTGTGAGAACCCTCAAATTTGTAGCCAAGTCAAACACAAGTGTGGATAAGCTGGGGACCCGGGACTTACGGCTGGCATCTGAAGTGGGGCAATCTTGTGAGACCGAACCCCTTAATATGTGGGGGCTGCTCTAACTCCGGGTTGTTAGTGTTAGAATCGAATTGAATGGTAGGAAACCCAATTGCCGTCAGAGAATTGTTGGAAAACGCAGCGTCTAATCTAATCACCTCATTTTTCTAGCAGAGTCTTTGAAACCCAGAGGCGGTCCACTCACAACCAGCCGGATGCTCTTTACGCCCCATCCCACCTCTCTTCTAGCTCCACCCTCAGGAGTGGCTCAGAATAAACAGTCGTCTCCTCTCCGTTTGGTCGAATGTTCGAAGACGGGCACTCATGCTCCTGGAATTTAGGCCCTGTAATTCTTCATTTCCTTCAGCCGTCCTTCATTTGGGGTGAGTTCCAGAACCATCACTTCCCTGTCACCCTTCTTTCTTTCAGAACTAAATTTTCTTTGACTGCAGGTGCTCACTTGTGAGCCAAAAGGCTTAAAGGTCTTATGAATCCTGAGGCGGCTCTAGCCAGTTGGCCACGCCTGAGTCCTTCAGACTAACCATTCATTCCTGGTATTCCAATAATGTTCTTCCTAAGCAGGGTTTAATATAACAAGTATTTCAAATGCAGGAGGTAGAAATGACTGATAGTGATGAATGACCAGAATCAAAACAGCTAACGTGCCAGCAGCTCTCAGGTTGCCCCACAAGACTTGTAATAGTCCAGTGTAGTTAGTGCGCCATACAGTTCACTAAGAGCCAACACTGACATTCACTTAATCGTCACGGCATCCCAGTGTGGATCATATTATTTTCCCCACTCTGTAGCTGAAGAAACACAGGCACAGAGAGGTTAACTGACACTCTTAAAGTCACACAGCTGTTGAGAGTTAGGGCTGGGATTGAAACCCAGGTACTCTGTCTCCTGGTCCTTGTGCACCTTTTACGACCTGCGGCCAGAGGTCATTGCAGTGCTCCTTCTAGCCCTGGACAGTGGGGTGTCCCCCTGCCCCTTGCCTCCTCACTGAGTGGTGGTCAGTTACAAAGTACAGAGAAGAGATTTTGGAATTGGATTGGCGTGGGGTTAAATCCACTTTGCCACCTTCCAGCTCTGTAATCCTGGGCAAGCTACTTAGCTTCCTTGAGCTTCTGTTTCCTTACTGAGCGTGACAATACCTGCCTCGCAGAGTTTTTGGAGGAGGACGTGACTATGCTAAATACCTGCCAAACAATAGGTGGTCGCTAAATGACTGCGGATGGTCACCAGGTGTACTGGTTATGGGGCAAGGCGCTCCGGTCATATGCGGCGAGGCAGTGATGGTTGAGCTCTCCTTTGCTTGTTTAGCTGTCATATCGCGTTGCACACCCATCTAGAGTCTCACCCCATAAATCGCTCCTTGGCATTTCTGCTTTCCAAATTGCACTATTTCATTGACTCTCGTTTCCTGAATTTCCATCATCCCTTGTCCCTCCTTCTCCAGCTGTAGCTCGTATTTTTCCATGGGAATGTTTTTATTAACTTATTGCCATTTCCAGCTTGTTATACTGTGTTGTTCTTTATCTGTCTGTGGCGACGATCACAGCACATCCCGATTTAGCTTCGTCAGCTCATTTACTGTGTCGCTTCCTCTCTCACAGTCTACGAAGCAGTGATTCCTGAAGCACTAGGTAGGACATTTTGTTCTTAACGACTTCACTAAATTACGAACCCCGTAGACATATGTACCCCATGACATAGGGACAGGTGAAAAGGAGACCAAGACCGATTACCTGATTTAAAAATTCCACTCCGAATTCCACAAATATAGCATACAGCAATGAAAATCTCAGCCCTGAAAGTAATTGGGGATCTGTCTGATCATAGGTAAATCCACTAGTTTTTATTCAAGTGACAAGCTGCTCTAGTGAAACAATTGTTCTGATTGATTTTAAAAATAATAATAATAAAATGGCTGGCTGGCTATATGAGAAGCTAATCATTTTGTCTAAGTGATTGAATGGAATTACATATACAGCCTTAATTTCAAAATGACGCATTGAATGATTTTCTTCCTCTTCCTTTCCTACCTAGTAGCTTTCACCATCTTCATACCGTACCCCACATTATCCTCCCACGTTCTTACATATGAGGTGGTACTGATGAAGTGTGGGTCACAGGCCTCTCAGCCCTCAGAGCAAGAATCCCAGGCAGCAGATCCTGAAGCTCCTGGTTGAGGAGCCTGACCCCATCTTGACCATATCAGGTCTAGGGACTGCCACATAGTGCCACCTAGTGACATCCTAGGGAGGTGCCCTAGGCATGGATAGAGGAGTAGGGTGTGTGTGTGTGTGTGTGTGTGTGTGTGTGTGTGTGTGTGTGTGTTTAGAGAGGGAGGAGGGGAACACCCCTAAGTTTAGGTCACTAAAAAAGTTGAACCCATTGTAGGGTGGGCAGCCAATTTATATAAGCTGCAGGAAACACTGGGTCCTTCCACAACATCAGTGGAAGTCCCAGATAAGAGACCTGCCTGCAAAGGGTGGTTTCCCACTAATAAAAAGGAGGGACGCCACTCTTTGAAGGCAGTGAAAGAATGGGGTGTCTTTCATTGGTGAGAGGAGACCCAAGCAAGGTCCAGCACGTGGGAGGAGGCAATGATTTACGAGGCTATTTATTCAGCTCAGCGTACAGGTACTGAGCTTGGAATCTGCCAGTTGCTCTGCTAAGATTTCTAGTGGTGGGGCTACAGATGAGGAGAGCAGTTCCTTCACCTAGAAGTCCTCATATTTAGTGAGGAAAGAAAAGAGGTTCTAGCTTCCCTGTGTGTTTCCTGAGCAAGCCAGGACCAGGAGTGGGCATCCTGTGTCTGGATCAGTGAGGTAGGTTTAAGCACTGAGGAGGCCTTGGACTTGAGAAGAAGGAGGAGGAGCCCTGTGGGAAGAATCATGGTCAGTGGGGATGGGGCTGTGTGTGTGTGTGTTATGTGGTGTGGTGTGTGTGCATGTGTGTGTGTGGGTGTGTGGTACGTGTGTGTGTGTATGTGTGTGTTATGTGATACGGTGTGTGTGCGTGTGTGTGTGCATGGTATGTGGTGGTGTGTGTGTGTGTGTGTGTGGTGTGGCGGGGGTGGGTATGGATGAGTGCATGTAGCCATGGAGAGCCACAGAGGCCACATAGGAATCTCTAAAAAAAAGGGTGGTTGGGTACCGAGGTCCCCTAGTAACGGGACCCTTGGGAATTTTGTTAGTGGAGAAGGTCTGACACAGAGAAGGCCTTGAGAGGCAAGGAGGCCTGGTATGACCTCATACGAGAAAAACATCCGAAGAAAGCAGCCATTAGAGTGAGCTTGTTGGCAAGAGTGAGAGGAACTGTGAATTTTCTGCTCTCAGGTGCCTACCTGAGGTTGTGCCAATCAAATAGGGTGATCGACTGTCCCAGACCGCCTGGACGGAAGGGGTTCCAGGGAGGTGAGACTTTTAGTTTTAAAACCGGGACAGTCCTAGGCAAACAAGGACAAGCTGATGACTCTACAAGGAACGCTCTCTTGGGAATTTAAATAAAATCCTCACCAAGCCTAATTCGCTCAGCACATCCAGGGCCTTCCGGAACCCTCTGCCCTGCACATGGGTGGGGAGCAGTGCCAGGACCCTCCTTGATGAGCCACTGAACTAGTTAATCACTTCTAACGAGAAGGAACCCAAAATGGCTCCACACAAAGAAACACTATGAGAAACGGTTGAGTTATGATGTTTATAGGCTTTTGTTTTTTCACTTCAGTCAGTGCCTGCGTTATACCTTGGTGTCCGCACGCTACTACCAGCTGACCCTGAAAAGGCCCATCATAAACTCTCTTGAATTTGAGAAGCCAGGGAAATGTCTATGAAATAAGAGTTATAGTTTCTAAACCAGGTCTTTGTCTTCATCACATTCAGCGTTAAAAAAAAAAAAAAAAAAAGTAACATCCACTGTTTACTTCCAAATCAGCAAACTAGTTAATGATTTTTTCAACACTTGCCTGGATGCTTCTCTTTGAATTTACCATTTTAGGATCTTTTATGGCGCTGAGCGCTGAGATGTCTGGGGATAGAGACAGAAACGGGATAGGGCTGGGAGTGAAGGTAACGGAGGAAGG